TGAAGAATGGACATCTACTATCCAAAATATTCTTTACTTTATTTAGAATAAATATTAGAAGTAATTGATCATGAATTTTTTACCTTTTTTATGTAATCACTACATTAGAAAAATATATATTATTTAAATAAAGATAGATTTGAACACTCTTCTTTTAACATAGAAGTTGGTCCTACATAATAATATATGCTAATCAAATCTTCAACAAGACCAACAAACTAACTCCTCCTTATTGAATGCTAGTAGTTCCTATTATGTATTCAAGTATATACTATAAAACATACTCCAATAGGCTATCTTATGATACATCAAGTACCAAAAATATAAACAAAATCTTTGTAATAGTCAATTTTCTATAGAAGCATAATTATATTTGATATGGCAAACTACACTTTAAGTTGAGATAGAAACATGGTTTTAACTAAAAAAGTTGAAATACTATTGTTTTTTTAAAAAATAAGGAGTAATAAAGACCACATTCTTATTAATACAGACTCAAGTGATATTTTGCTCTAGAAATAATCACTCTTATTAGAGATTGCTTTTGCACCTTAGATTCTTACTAAGCATGCTTACCAACTGCCTCTAAAGTACAAGGATTTTTCCAAGGTCATTTAACATAAGTTAGGAGCATCCACTAGCTTCTTTTTAATCTACCTCCAATATTATCATATTGTAATAGGACTAATAGGTGAAAGAATGAAAAAATATTATATTATAAAAGATCTTATTTCAAAATATAATATAAAATTATCATTAAAATATAAATAATAGTTATAAGGTATTAAAATTAAAATTGTAAATACTACCTTTTTGCAAAGTAGACTTTTACTTATTTTGTAAGGCCATAAATAAAGTAAAATAAGATAGATTAAAAAATTAAAGGATAAAAGCATGTAAATAAGAAACTTAGGAATTGATTTTAGCAAAAATTACCTAAAAAAAAAAAAAAAAAAAAAAAATGATATCTAAAAAGAATTGATTGCCAACCAGGATTAAAATTAAACCTCAAGACACAAAACCATGCATCAACGGCAACTCCATGATTCTTTTGCAAATTAAAGAGTGGGATTTGAAAAAAGACTTTATAAAAATTCTTTAAAAATAGATAGTAGACTTATTTTCTTATATATAAGTAAATTTTGAAAGGTATTTAATTGTAGAATTAAGAGATTTTAGCTCAAATAGATTGGCATCAAGAATAGAGAAGGAGGCTAGCCAATACCTAGGCAAATTTTAGGATTTATCTATTTAGTAAGTTTGATCTTCTTAAAAATACTTGTATTTATTGCCAATGAAGTTGTTAAGAGGTGTGCAAAATTTAACTTGAAAACAATAGTTAGATTATTAGTTATAGAGGTTCCAATCTACCATAGGATTTAAAGTTTGTTTAAGATTTATAGTGTTGTGTGGTAATATGACTATATTGTGAAAAATAAAAATAAAAATATTATTATTGAAGAGCCTAGCAATAAGTTGTAGTAGAAAAATAAGAATAAATGATAGAAAGGTAATAAAAGATTTAGTCTTAATACTGCTTTTTTATAGAAAAAATATCTATTTACTTTGTAGAGACATAAATAAGCCAAATCAAAGTAAATGAAGTAAGAAATTGATATAGATATATTTAAGAAAAAGTTAACAATAGGATAAAATGAAACTTACTTCAAATTACTAAAAATTGATACTTAGAGAGGACCAATTGTCAACCTAAGTCGAAATCAGATCCTAAGACTTAAAACTGCATCCATATGATGACTTTGGGATTCTTTGGTAGATCAAAGAGTAAGATTTTAGAAAAAACTTAAAGAGAGATTTTTAAGCATTGGTTTCATGTCATTTAAATCAATATTGAGATTTTGAGAGATTTTCAAAGTTAGTGATATTCTTGGTAGGATTAGGATTTGAAAAATAAAAATATGTTTACAAATTTGAAGATTTCTTGAGTTTTGTGGTGTATATATAAGTGAAATTTGAGCAATATGTTGAATACTAGTTGAAAATGTGTATGCAAATTTTGAGATTAATCAAATAATTAGAATGAAGTATATAAGGATTTTTGTAGATTGAAGTCTCAAAAATTGGAATTTGAGGATTAATGAGTGTTTCTAAGCTTTTCAAGAATTTGTCAATTAGATTGAAGTGATTTTTTTTTATAGATATTAGACGTGATTTCCAACATTTAGGTGAAATTTTAGAGGAATTCAATAATTAAAAAATGACATATTGATGCTAGAAGTTCAGTATTTAAGTTGGGATAGGAGGTCACCAATTACCTAATTGGATTAGCTTGCATTTCTCTCAATTGATAAGTGCGATTGATTTCATCTTTCTTGTGTTTGTTTTTAACTAAGATATTAAGAAGTGTACAAATTTTGAATTGATATCAATGGTTTGATTATTAATTATTGAAGTTCTATTTTGCTTTTAGATTTAATTTAGAGTTTATCCATAGTTTGGTTAAGGCTTAGGATTTGATCTAGGATTTGATTAGGATTAGGATTTTTTTGGGATTTGATTTAGAACTTGACTAGAAATTGATTGGAATTTATCTATGAGTTTTTTAGGATTTAGGGTTTTATTAGGATTTCATTAAGATTTGATCTAGGCTTTGGTTAAGGTTCAAATAATGTTTCAATTAGGATTTGATCTAAGGATTGATTAATATTTAATTAGTATTTCTATTTTTAGTATTTATTTAGAAAATTTTAATATTTCTTTAAGATTATTATTATTTCTTTAAAGGTTTGTTTTTATATTGCTTTAAGATTTCTTGTTATTTTTCTTTGAGATTAGTTTAGGACTTCTTTATGTTTATTTTATAACTTCTTTTAAATTTATTTTGAATTAGTCAAATTTTGATTAGGATTATTAAGATTTATTTAAAGTTTATTTAAAACTATATTAAACTTAGTAGGATTTTTGTTGCATTTCTACTTACCTTCTACAACTAAGTGCTCAGTGCATTCTCAAGTAAGAACACACGTAATATGACAATAATTGGTTTAGGATTTAAGATTTTGTTAGGATTTGTCTAGGATTTGATTAAGATTTGTTTAGGATTTATCTAAGATTTGTCTAGGATTTGATTAGAATTCAACTAAAATTTATTTAGGATTTTTTTATATTTATTTTTTGATTTATTTAAAAATTAAATTAGATTTGATCAAAATTTGATTATTTATAGCTAATTCAATAGCCAATAGCCAATGCATTTTTTTCTTTATTTTATATATATATATTAAGAATAAAATTACTATAGTTTATTTAAATAAATATCTTATCATTATTTCTAACATAGCAACATTTATTAAGCTTCAAATGCAATTAATATATGATTTTATTTGAGTTTTTAGGAATTATTATTGCAATTTTCTTTTATCTTCTACAACTAAGTGTCCAATGCATTCTCAAGCAAGACTTCATATAATATGATAACATTACATAATTTCCACTTACTACCTCAACCTTGCTCCTTCTACCACCAATACATCTATATTCTCTACACATATTACAAAGAATCAAACAAGAGATAAACAAACAAGTTGTCTATATACTTGCAAAAAAGATCATTGTGTAAACAATGTAAGACTTACAAAACAAGGTGTTCACTATCACTGTATTAAATCAAGACAATACTAAATATGCCACAACAACTCTCATAAACAACATCCATAATAAAACAACTTCTTCACCTTCATACAACTTGCATTGAGAAACCTACCATAGTCTCCAACTTATTAACTTTTCAATCTTACCTAAGCCTATAACTTATCCAAATTTTCAATCCACTTGAATCTAAAATCAACTTAGTCTGCAACTTGTTCCTTAAAAGTAGTTGGCAAACTCATTTCACACGTCAATAACCAAGAAGTAGTTTCTTGTAAGTTTGATTTAGATTGATACTAAGAGGCGAAAACCTTGGCAATGGAATTTTTGATATTAATCCACCTTTCCTAACTAGGTATTTTCTAGGGCTAATATCCTAGAAGTTACTAGGATTGATATCTCAATAACTTTGTCTTTTTTATTCTATGTAACTTTACACTTCCTTATGCCAAAGCAAAAATCAAAAATAAATAATTTAAAACATTTAAACTCCTATATTACTTTAAAAATAAATAATTTAATAATAAGATAAAAAAAATGAAGAAAAACTTGAATATATGTTAAGAAATACCAATCTTAATAATAAGAGCTAATTTTTTTACTAAAATTTTAAAGACATTCAAAGATATAAAGATAATTAGGTTAAAGTAAAAAACTTTTCTTAGTTTTCCAATTAATTTTTTTGCTTTTATATAATAAGTTTGAGGTTAATTCTAAATTTTTTTAAAAATTTAACAGAAAGTATCAAAGGTCAATTCTATTATTATTTTTTTATTAATTTCGAATTTCTAAAGCTCTATGATTTAATATAAATGTATATATATATATATATATATATATATATATATAATTGCAACCATGTAATGTCTTCTTTTTAATCTTTGATTTTAAAAATCATGACATCATTATCTACTTTCTTTGTTATTCCATTATATGAGTGTATTATTCTACAATGGCATGTTAAAGAGTTAAGAGGCTGTGGATAACGTCACATATGTTATTGTAGAATAATACACTCAGAACATGTTAAACATGTTATTGTAGAATAGTACACCCATAGGTTTAATCTTAAGTGTTAACATATTATTGTAGAATAATATTGCCCCTGGTTCTCAAGAACGTTCTCCACAGCCTCTTAAATCTCCACATGTGCCCAGTGTTCAGCCAGGGTTTCACTTACGCAAAACGATGACGTCAGACTGGGAGGCTCGAAATCAACGCTGACGTTCCCGCTGGTTTGTGGGCACAATAGAGATTACCTGAATACGAACGGTCAGGATCAGCGGATGGCAAAGTGAAGCACGATCGGTCGACCGGGGAACGGCGACCGTAGCGACTGTTGGTTATTGTCGCAGGAGTGAAGGTTACACCTCATGAGATCTCGCATCGTTGCTGCTGATGCTGCTGTGAGAAGAGACGATCGGGTCATGTTCTCAGAGTCATGGAGAAGCTGGTGGCGGGGGTGATGAAGGTGGTGAATGTGACGATTTAATGGTGAGGATACCGTGAGGCTGAGAGAGAAGAAGAGAACAGCAACAACACAATTGATAGGTATTAGAGTGTAGGAAGCAAGGTTGCGGAAGAGGAAGGAGTCGAGGTTCGTAATGCGCAGGCAGCAGCGAGTGACGCAGCCATCGCTGCTGACGAGGGTAGTTGATAGTGTGTTTAGGTTCGTGCATTTGGGGGAATCAGAGATCCTGTTTGTGCTCTTCTTTGTCATTTCATTCTTGCTTTTGAAGGACCTGGTATGTGTTCGCCTCTTCTTTTAACACTCCATCTTCGCTCTCAAGCCCGTGTCGATTTCTTTTCTTTTCTGGTGGAATGGTTGCTCCTTGGCTCGACCAGGTCGCAAATTTGACTATGGAAGTGGTTAAGTAGGCTCGTGTGCGATTAGCACCTTGTAGTTTCCATTGAACAATACTTTAAGGCTTAAGCAGGACTCTTTCACGTTTAGTGACATTGACATGGATTGTGAAGATGTGGCAAGTCCTGGCTCTGGTGTTAGGTAATGTGATTGATGAGTATAGGTTTTGTGGCATTCATCTATTTGTAGAGTTTTTTCTGCATGCTGTGAAATGGTAGTTTGTGTAGCATAGGTATCCTAATTTGAAGCGTTAAGGCTAGAATTGCTCAATCTACAGAGCTGCCTTGGTGCTTCTTTCCATCATAATTTGTGTTGAAGTTTTGTGCTAACTAAGTGCAATTACAAGTATGTCTATGAGTCAAGCAATATGCCGGTCCATATTGAACGAGTCATTTTATAGTTTAGGAATTTCAGAATCAATGTAATTAATAAAAAGAGTGCTTTCCGAATCTTCTGCCTTCGTGATAATTATGTTTAGAGGATTGGATGTTGTAAAATCCTTTTACTGGAAGTGTCTAACGTACTTCAACCAGTCGGCAGGAGTCTTATCATATTCTGTCTTGTCTTCAAAACCTTTGGTATCTGAAATAGCTGAAGTTGTTTTGAAAAGGTTACATGCTTCAGTTTATGCCTTGCCTCGGCTCCTCTCTTTCATGTGAGTCCTAAGGCTGCTGTAGCCCTTTCAGGGCACTCCTGCACTAGGTTACTAGCTAGATGTTCAAGAAATTTGTGATCGTTTTCAGTTGTAGTCAAGAGCAAGTTATTGATTTCGGAGAATTGAATTATGTTGAGGAAGGGATTCTATTTCTATTCTCCGAAATCGCATCCCTTCATAAATGTAAAAAAACATTGCGGTGAACTTGTTTTGCAATCTTGTTGCAGAACTATTTGTGAAACTTTTCACATATCTTTTTCTATTTTATTTTCAGTAGGTCTCAATTGAGAGGATAAATTCACTTGCTCCGTGGTTCCTCCTCTTGACTGAAGATTATTTGCTTCTGTTGAAACCAGTGAAATAAAATAGCATGGAAAGTGAAATTTTTCTCTGATATCTATCATCTTGTAGTTCTGATTAGCAGTGGTTATGTGTTGTTGGTATAGACATCTCGACCAGATTTCAATCGGATTCTATCCAAGAAAAGGCTAGAAGAGGTCTCTGGTGGTGTATATTAAATCTTCAGCATGTTTCGGAACTCGTTTCAGGCCGGCTTTCTCTCAATCTTATACAGCATCGGGTGAATGCTGATCTCCTCATTATAATGTAGTGTTATTGTTATGTTTCGGTTGTAGATCATTTCTTGTTAGTCAGGTTGTGTTGAGTGGTGGAAGATTTATTATTAACTTGGCAATTGTAGGTTGTTACACTGTTGTGAAATTGGCTTGATTTTTTTATTTTTTATTTTTCAATAATTATTATTCATATTATTTTAAAAAGTTGACATTTCTTACGAATGCGTGTATGTTGTGGCTTGTGATAGGGCTAAGCCTCTGCACATATGGGACAAGGAAGGTATGCTGGTCCTCACGCAGTGTTCACACTGCTCATTTGCACTACATTGTAATATAAAGGAGTGATTTTCACCACTTCTATGCTTCCAAATCTGCCTTTTAAACTATCATGCATGGCATGTTAGTTCTTAACTTGGGTAAGTGAAATTGTGATGTTACTTTTCATGTGCAAGTAGGTTGGTTAGTCTTACTAATCCTTCTGCTTTAGTGAGAGTTTAAGGTAGAATAGTTTGGAATACAAATTCTTATTGTTGTCGTGTCTTTCAGTGCAAAATGGTCACATCAAGAGATGTACCGATGAGGACATACAGTCTAGTGTGCTGGAGATAATGGGCACCAATGTGAGCACCAACTTCATAACAGCACCTGTTGACCGTAAAGACATATTGGCCATAAGGCTACCATTCCTGGTTATGATCATTAAAAATATGAAAAAATATTTCTCATTCGAAGTCCAAGTACTGGATGATAAGAACATTAAACGCAGGTTTCGAGCCTCTAACTATCAGGTTCATTTTCGTGTTCCTTTGTTTCTTATTTAACCCCTAAGTTCATATAATTTCATTTGCAGGTTACAGGATGTGTCACCTGGTAACGCAAGCAGCCTAGGTAGACAAGTTTGAGTAATTGTGGGCAAAGTGTTGATTGTTTCGGGCCAATGGATAGATGATATTGTATGTAGTCATTATGCAGTATTAGGCAGCATATTGCTTACTCAATCAAACGTTTCCGCTTCGTTCAACTGCAGTCGGCAACACGTGTTAAACCTTTTATTTGCACAATGCCAATGCGGTTAGACGAGGGTTGGAATCAAATTCAGTTTAACCTCTCCGACTTTACGCGGAGAGCATATGGAACAAATTACGTTGAGACGTTGCGAGTGCAAGTGCACGCCAACTGCCGCATCCGGCGTATTTACTTCTCAGATCGACTCTACTCCGAGGAAGAGTTGCCTCCCGAGTACAAGCTTTTCTTGCCAATTCAAGTGAGAACATATTCAAAACCTTTGATTGAATTGAAAAGTCATTCGTATTAAACCGTTCTCAGAATATATTGTCTTCCAATTGATCTTCGAGGGGAGAAGACTAACGCGGCTACTTCATGTAATGTTGGGCTCAAGTATCAATCTTCTGAACAAGCATTAATATCTCTCTTTACAAGTCCATATCGACTGATCGAAAGGATTAAATACTTAATCCAGTATGGACTGATCAACTTTCGCTCATTGGAAAAGAATCAAGGAACTGCTTATTCGGATGTCCATTACAGTACATTGCTGTATTCTGATCTGTGCAGAAGAGTTGAGGGTGGAATTGCATCAAGATGGTGATTCAATGCTTTTTGTTGGCTACCATAAGCTTTTAGTTATGTTAATGAAGATAGATGGAGAAGTGCAGGGAGTGCTATGTTACTATCGCAAGGCAGGTGAGAACCTAAGGATGTGACACTGTTCTCCGTGCAATTCTTTAGGTAATTAGTTCTCCTGGTTTGGTCAACAGAAGTATCGTCTTACTGTAGTGCATGTGGGTTCGTTCAAGACCATTTTACTGTTGGCTGAGGTTTGAATCTTGTGCATTGAATCCATTAAATTTGCTGAATAGGGGGGTGCTTGACCTTATCCTTTATCACACTTGGTCCATCGAGGATATTGGGAATTGATTCCATGTCGTTTCACCTTCTTGGAAAATTTAATATGTGATCATTAGGTCAATTTTGTCAATTTTTTTTTAATGATTGTGAGTTACATTATGAACATATGTTTTTGTATTCCAATTTGGCTAATCAAATTGTAATTTTGAAAAAAATATTGAAAAAAATATTGGAACTTCTGACATAGTTATATACTCAACAATCTCAAAAATAAAATAAAAAATAAAATAAAATAAAATAAAAAATGTCAGGATTTATTTACCAATCAATAGAACTATTACATTTAAAATTTTCAAATTGCATTATAATAAATTTTTATGAAATCTACAGTATTTGGTTTTTTCATAATTGATAACTGTATATTGGTATGCAATTAAAAATTAAAAAATTGTCAATATAATGTGATATTTTTTTAAGAGATAATATAATAGTGTAAAATATATGTAATTTTAATTAGGTTAGTGAATTTTTTAAAAATTATTATAACACTAATTACAATCCAATCAGATTTAAAACAATAGTCTCTGAATTGTAATTTTCATAAGTTATTATTTATTTTTTAATACAATTATGCTAATGTGTATATAGAACTTTATTTTTATTGGTGATTTTTTTTGTGGATTTTTTTTGATATTAGATTTTTATAATTTAAACCATAATATAGATATTATGAAAAATATTGGTTATAATTTTGTAAAATAATAAATTATATTATCTTTTCAATTCTAATGCAGAAAAATGATATTAGATATTAGCATGATTAATATAGGGAGTTACTAAATTGACCCACATTTTTACTAAATCAACCCACTTCTCAAAGTCTAAATCTTTGTAAAGATCCTTAGACTTTATTGCTATAGCATAAATTGAATTTTATCAATTTGGATCATTAGCATCTTTGATGGAATTAAATATAAATATAATAAAATCTCCTCATTTAAAAGAATATGTAGAATATGAGAGTAGATTAATTTACTAAAAATATAGGTCAATTTAGTAATTTCTTAAATATAAGGATAGAATATGAAGTTTTTAAAAAGTAAATGACAACTTCAATTAGAATTGGCCATGTATTAGTAATTAACTCCTACTAAAACATGAAATTAGTTTAGATTCATATTATAATACAATCCAAATTATAAACTATACATTAATAGGAAATTTCTTTTATAGTCCCAATTGCATCAAGAATTATTGAATTAATTTTTTTATTAATTTGTTATAATCCAAAGATATAGCTAAATATTTATAATCTTCTTATTCAAATCTTTAATTTGAATTTTTTATTTTTTTGATTGAGGTAAATCATATAATTTCTATAATCTTTTATAATTTACATGCTTAAAATATGATAGATTCTTTCTTTATCATCTATTTGAAATCTCTTAAATAAATAATTCTTTGTTGTTAAAAACCTTCTACTATTATAATAATTTTTTATCAAATTATTTGAATAAAGTAAAATAATAATAATAATAATAATAATAATAATAATAAATATATTATTCATCTTTAACTTGTGAATGTTAAAATAATTTTAAGTTTTAGTATTCTAAAATAATAAACTAAATAATATTAAAAGTATAGAGTTAGATTTTACAACAAGTTTTAGAAATAATATAGTATTAACAAAAAATAATAATATCAAAAATATTTATAAATGTATATAAGTTCATAATGCTAAATTAATTAATTAGATCTTTAAATTTTTTTGGATGTATTAGTAAAAATTTACAGATTACTAGAATATCTTATAATCAATGACAATAAAGTGGATCTTTGCTTTAAAAATATTTAATTCTTAAAATTTCTAATTATTATTATTATTATTATTATTATTATTCATCAAAATGATGTACATAAATATATTTATATATTTATGTTGTAATATTTAGATCTACTCTTAGTAATATAAAAATTATAAGTACATCATTTAGATTTATAAAAAATAAAAAATAGTTATGGAAATAATTAAAAGTACTGTTAACAAACAAAATTGGATTTGTTAGTTTGATTCAAAATAATTTCTCCAAAAATTGCATAAGTATGTAGATAAAAATAATTAGTAAACAAAATATAAAAAATTAGCATGATTATTGTTGAATAATATATATATATATATATATATATATATATATCATGTTTTGTTTGTAGTAAAAAAATTTAATAAATCCATAATTTTAATAAGATAATTAAATTTACACCTCTATATGTATAAATATATATATATATATATATATATATACAAAATATTTGTAACTCTTGTAGCTCTGCATGCATGACATAAAAAGATGTTACTTTAAGACAAATGTATAAAATTTGTTGGAATTTTTTTCATATTTTTATTACATTTTGTTGATCTAAGAATTAGCAAAAAAAACTAATCAACTACTAGATGTATTTACTTAATAAATATAAAAAAACGAGCTGTAAATAATCATTACTATTTTTAAGAAGTTATTAAATTCAATAAAAAAAGATAATATGAATTGGATGTGATGATTATCTTGATGTAAGAAATGCCATCAATATTTTTTTGTTTATTTTTTTTATTTTTGAAACCTTTTATTATGGATTAAATCTACTTGTTATATTAATTTTATTTACAGTTCACTATATCATATTGTAAATAAATCAAATTTAGTTGATAGTTAGATAAATAAGATTCTTCTATTTTATGTATTTGTGATTTCATTATTTCAAAAATTTAGAAAATTCATTTGAATTATATCATAAGTCATTGAAAGCTTTTTTAGAATAAATAAATAAAAATGAAAATAGATTTGTGTTATTATTTAAGTATAAAGTTGTGTGGATTGTAGAATGACTAAATATGAGATAAAAGATTTTTTATATAACTTATAAAAAAATTTGCAAACAAGCAAAAATTAAACTAGATAGGAAGTTTTAGTAGTTGTTTATTTATTTATTAACTATTACTTAATTAAAATAAATTAATTACAGTGTGAAAAAATAGAAAAGAAAATTTATTTATATATTATTTTAAAGAATAAAATTATGCAATATTCTTTTGGTTGAATAAGACAAATAAAAGTTGAGAAAAAATCATTAAAATTAATTATATACAAACAAATATAAATTATATTCTACTTGTACCCAATTGATATTTGTTCTATTAAAAAAAAAAATTATTATACCTTAGTGATTTTTTTATATTTGGATATAACACTCCTAAGTGCAAAGGTTGCTATTAACTATTGTCAAACTTACTCAAATGTGATGGGTTTTTTTTGTTGGATTTTTTTTTCCCTTCCTGCAATGCTTTGGTATACCTCCTCGGTTCATGTTTAGACATAACTAAATCTACGATTGGACCGTGCATACAAGCACCATTCTCAAGGCGACAATTGTGTTTATTTAGGTTTAGCAGGAGCTTTTGACATTTGACAAGCGCTCTGCATCTGTATTTTCACAAATCTAGCTCAAAAAGCAGTTGTAAATGGCATCTTCCTCATTTCGTTTTATTTTATTTTTTCTTAAATTCCCTTTCCTCATGCAAGCAGTGTCACAACTGATCTGCACTCGAATTATGTATGATAGCAGGGTTTGACCTTCGAATCGCACATGATCAATGTGAAGGTTATAGCTTTTTGAGAGCGACAAGAAAATGGATGAATTCAGGTTCCGAAGGAGATATTAAAGATGTAGGATCTCATGTGAATTACTGTATCAGTGGTCTACCAGGTTGTGAATGATGAAGCTTGGACTATTGAAGAGCTTCTCAGTTCACTCCTCATGTGGAATAGGACTTTGCTAACAAGTGCAAGTGCAAGTGGAAGAACCCACTTCGGCAGCACAGATCGTCTATTTCTGTGAACGCAGCAGGAAGCATACCAGCAAAGGATGATTGGAATGAACATCATGACGTCGAACGTGATAATTTCCTGCTGCCACCGGATACAGCATCACCTTGCGAATCGCCTGGAATCCCTCGAGTGGAAACGAACAAAACAGGGACGGCACGAGAACACTTCACATTAGAGACAAGGTGAGAGCCTGCCACCCGTTCGCGCCGAAGAAATCCCTTCCATGTCCATAGCCTGGGCATATATCGCCCAAGAGTTACTGCGATCGAAAATTTCAAGTCCTTGACTTGTAGGGTTTGAATCTACCAGTGGGTTTGGCACAATTGCCACAGAAGACGAAGCCATTGTTCTCCCTTCATCGCCAGCTCGACAGGAGTCAGTCTCGGGACTCCCGAGTACCTGGTTCCGGCCCAAAGGGAACCCTCCAACAATGCATTTCCATGTAAAGATCAAGGTTGCCATAAATAGTTCGCCTAACTCTTATTAGAGGAAACACATGTGCAGTGTTTAGAATGGTACCTTGAATACGTTGCCTTCACAACGACGATGACTTTTTGGAATAGATTCATGCATTGAAAGGTCAACGTGAGTATATTTCTTATTCTTGCTACATTTCATTCTAATTTAGAGAGCCCCAGCAGCAAAAAGTATGAGTAGACGTATTGATTCAAAGATATTATTAGGAGAGTGAGAAAAGGCGCAGGGGGTCGGGCGGGATGTGGTCCTGGGAGATGTGTTGTTTTCATTCTGAGGATGAAGGAGGAGGACCTGGTTCTTAACATTGGACCATGCATCGAAATTACAATAGTCATAAGATGGTCATCGTTGACGCACCAAATCCACACGTCATAAAGTGTGTTGACAGTACCTTAGAAGCAGCAGTTGATAGGTAGAGCGAGTCTGCATGGATTGCCGATTCCCTCGCTCGTGTACTCCTAAGTATTCTGTGGGTTACACACACCATCGGTGTTCGCAGACCGTGGGCTTGTGTAGACGATTCACACTTTGACTCTCGTGCTGCGGTCGTGAGTAGGATTAGCAATAGCTGGTTGGGGGAGAGCACACAAGCACTTTAGAGAGGGGACTTTCCCTAGAGCACATCGAAAAGGATTACATGGAAACCTTCCAGTTGTCGCTCTGCTGGTTCGCCATGGACTGTGGTGAATCAACCAGTTCATCGAGGTGTTGTGGAACCGTTGGAAAAAGCTCATGCTGGCAACCGCAGAGATTGCCATACTTGTGATAACGCTGAAGGCGGGAGGTCTCTTGACCGTCCCTAGAGTGTGATGCAACCTGTGGAAGTCACCTCGCAAAGTAGGGCTGAAGATGTACATCATACTCGAGGGGAATAACTGCCCAACGACTTGTCTAATCCCGTAGACACGAGTCATTCAGTCCTAGGGTGATAGATCAGTGATCTAACCTGTAAGTGCTCACTTGTAAAAGAGAGCGAGTTGAGTGGCCATTTCTTCACACCCTCGCAAAGGCGATGGGCGAGGTTGGACGATAGACACACATGAATGGTACAGTCCACCACGAAGACTAGATTCCTTAGAAAGAATCATCCGTGGCTACAGGCGGATTTATCAATACCGGAATATTGTGGATATTCTACTTGGCTGAAAATTCGGCAAACTCCATCGCCATCAGAAGAACTTACTGGATAAAGAACCCTGGCGTATATCATCGAATTTAGAAATATTGACCAGACGCAGGTCGGTTACACACCGATGGATAACTGTGCGACATGGCTTACATTAAGCATAGTTTGCTGGGTAAATGGAAGACATTACATTCTATTCGTTGTGTGGGAACGTTTTCAAAGTTTTCACGAAAGTCACAATTCTACAGAGGGAAAGACATGTCTGGAGGAGTCGCATTCCAATTCATCGCATGGAATGGTTTCCTTGGACATTTCCATTTGAAAAGGTTCGAAAGTCCACAGAAAGTAAAACTACCGTAGAACTAAATTCAGCCAGTCGGATATAGCCGAAAGAGGCAACAGTGATGTGATTTTCGCAAGTAAGGTATAGATTAACCATCTTGTGATCACAACTTGACAACCAGAAAGAAAAATGCTAAGGCTGGGGCATCAAAAATGTACAATCTCACTGATGCCTGTCACGTATCAGACTGCACCATAAGTCTCTTTCTAAATGCTCAAAGAAAACAACTTAAGCTGTCTACAAACGAAAAGGTACCAGCGCACAGCCCGGCCCCATGCCCAGAGGAATTTGACAAGCAAAGCGACCATGTTCGTGGTCTGTATCAAAAACCCCTGAACAAAGGGTCTGTAGAGGCTGTAACACACAGCAGTACCAGAGAAACGACTACCAAGTATGTACCAAAGATAAATTAGAAGCCTATCATTTCCCGTACAGTCGCAACAAACATCTTAAGGAAGGGACGGCTGTGCGTGGTGAATTGATTCTCACATTCGTCACCAGGTATTGCAGAGTATATTCGAGAAGTATGCCCAGTTGAAGTTCCTGCGTGGTACAAAAAAATTGGAGCACTTCCGCATACTTGAGACTTGACCATTGGGATCTTCTATGTAAGAGTTGATGGCTGTGATTCCCAAATGATATGTGCTTCACCCTCCAGCGTGAAAAACCCGCGAGGAATTCTTCCGAAGATGCAGTATCTCCTTCAAATACTCGATGCCCACTAACAGCTTCCTCGCAAAATCCGGCATCCCCTCTCCACAGAAGATGATGCTCAACTGACAGAGACAAGCTCATGCCACGCCAAAAAAAAAAAAAAAAAAAAAAAAAAAAAAAAATTACAGTCAGCAAGTCCAGCATGTCTACGCAGACAATCTCAAACGGGGAGAAAAGCAACTTCCAATTACATCACTGTGGCGACTAACCGGAGAATGTGCTAATCAACTCCCACATCTCATCTTCACAGGGTGTCCCGCAACAAAATTGCGCTCGATTCGATGATGCCATAGATGCATCCACATGTACGGAGATGGTGTTGGCCGAAATTCATTCAAGACTCACGTGTCCGCACTGTACTTGCAGGAAGAAATGTAAGGCCACGAAAGGTTCATGATACATCCGTAGAAGGGGCGTCCTTCTATCTCCTGACACTTAGAAAATGTCTTACCATGAGGTATCCGAAACGCGAGGGGAAGTGAGAGGGAAAAGCGTTAAAAGCTCAGGCTGTTGTCGAGGCCGCTCAGGGGTGGGTTGAAGGTAGAAAATGGGATCCCGTTCCGTCTTGGCTAGCTCGTCCCTTGGGCGAACGCAAGGATATCCCTCATACGAAGTAGGGGTGGTGGGCGCATGTAAACTTTCGAAAACATCCTTGTTGAGAGGAGTAACAGGACTAGCGATGCAGGAAGGAAACTTGGGTGAAAGATCAGGGGTGGGAGAACCACATCCGTATCCAGCAACACCCTTGCGAAATGCAGCTGCAGCACCCAGTCCCTTCACATCCAACTTCCTCAGATTAGATTGCCGTCTTTCATGTAGTTTGAAGGCAGGCCTTCGAGCACTCAAGTCGCCCACAGGCTTGGGAATAAGGCCACCGTACGTTCCATCCATCTTGTGCGCGTTGCTGTCGGCTACTCCCCGGGAGGCCTGGCGTGAAGGCAAAGTGATTGGAAGCTTCTCCACATCCGAGTCGGATGCTCCCGTCAGCTTCTGAACGAGCTCACGGAAGCTCGATGTATCTACTTGAACAAATGTGGTTATGGATGCAAACTCTTGTCCTCCATCTCTATCCGCCAGGCTCAGGGACCCGAGCCCAGATGTTGGGCTAGGAGGAACCTTTGAGGCACCTCTGTAGGTCGGAGACACTAATGACGCCCCGCCATTGGAGTTGCTCGACGCTCCTCCAGCGCTGAACGCAACCCCCCTCTTCATCTCTCCCGCGCTCTCCGCAACTCGTTCCAAACAACCCGGATGCAACCCACACCACCCTCAACTATGCGTCGACCTTCCAGTTAACACCTACCAAGCACATATCATTTCTCACAAACAAACTGATCCACGACGCATCCGAACATACCCTGTCAGACTCACTCCTTGTGCTGTCGCATAGTGTGTCCGAAAAGAGAAAAAGGAAAAAATCGATAACCAGAGTAGACGTCAAGACATCACTCCCAAAGAAACGGAAACTGAACACACCCGCGCTGAAAAGACCAATCCAACGTACCCAGAGACATCCGCGAGACCCAAACCCACATACCGCAACAACAGAGACTCTCTCAAGAAGAGTACATGAAAGCACGCGAACAAAACACAGGCACCTAACAAAACAATCGCACCCCTCAGATGCGTCCCAGGTTCCAGCACACACGCGACGCTGACCAGCGAGAATGCTACCACCGCTGCAACTACTCCAAATACTGCTGTGTCACGAGCAAGGCTCACGCAGGGAGTACGAAAGCGAGCAAACGAGGAGGTGGGGGGGTAGCACAGTGAGCTGACTCGACGACATGGAAGCGTGATAGAGCTGTGGTGAGAAAGAGAGGGAGAGAAAGAGAGAAGGCAGACTGGGAGAGAGAAAGGGGGCCCTTTCCGAAGGGATGAGCAACCCCTGATTTACCGGCGCACGGAACGGGTGTTGACAATCTTGACCAACCCAACCTTCCTTGTGGGCTACTGTCTCTCCACCCAACGTCCAACTCAACGGAACAATAACAATAACAACAACAACCCCATCATATCCCCATTCCTCTCTTTCAATTTCTTTCCCTTTGTTTGTGTTTGTTTCTTGGGTTTTTCTCTTTTTGTGCGCTTTTTCTGCTCTCTTCTTCTTCTTCCTTCACTGCTGGCCGGACTGCGCTCTGACCTGACGCTGCCCGTGACCCGCGCCTCCCTTCAACCAACGATACTAAGTTTAGGGTCCGGTACGTTGACTCTCTGCCTCGGCTCTCTGTTAATCTCGGTAAGCCTGGCTGGCTTGCTTCCCTGTGGTTACGCAGCCTATCTCGCAGCAGCAACTGCAGAGAGAGAGAGAGAGATTCCTAAACTGAGCTATCGCGTGAACAGTGCAGGTCAGCCCCCCCCCCCTTTTGCGCATTCCAGCGGGAAAAGAAAAAAAAACAAACAAACATACAGACGAGCACGCTACGATTCATCACCGAATCCTCCTCGCTGTTGACTTTATGCCCCGGCGCCCTTCTTCCCTTTCCAAATTCTCCTCCCTCCTCCTCCTTCTCTCTATCTCCGTGTCGCATCATTATTGTGCGACTCTTGGGTGAACGTTATGGCTCCCCCGATCCCTGCCTTGCAAAAGGGCGTAAAAGTGCGCTTGCTCCCGTTTCAGTTGAGCTCCAAACCCTAATTTTTCTCCGTCGCTCTCTCGCTGAGCGTTGCAGGATTCGGTCTTTTGCTCTGTCGTGTTCTATCGGTCTCGGTCTTGGTCTCGGTCTCCAAGTCTAGTGAGACCCACAACACCATCTTCACTTATTTGTCTAAGTAACTACGGCCTATGTGAACAATGTCACGATGTGCATCTAGTCAAATTGAGATTCATTACTTGTGTTTCTGTGTCAGAGCAACCGACCATTCTGGTCGACTCGTTTTCTTTTTCTTTTTGTCTATTTTTTCTTTCTCTTTGTGTGCTTCAGTTTTGATACTAATTATGTATCAAAGAATAGCGACACTGCGCCAAACTGATTCTGAAGTCTTTTATAAGTATACGTGGAAATGATGCTGAAAAAAAGCGGTTTGTGACATAATATCATTTGGAGGATGCAAGTGGGATCCCACATCGTTTGAAGATGATGTGCATGAGGTTTTTCTGAGTTGATTGGTTTTGTGTTGCTTAAAACCAAAAATGAACTATAGCGAGAATGTAACTAATGTTTCAATTCTTTTGAAACTTCTTTTATTTTTTATTTTTTATTACTGGTATGTAATCAGAGTAGATTTGAGTGTTGAATATAATTTCTGTTGTAAAATTATAAACTTTTTAAATATTATTTCAAGGATGACATATAATATGTGTTATTTGGTTGAGATCCAAAAGTTGTATGATGTTGAGAATTTTTCAAACTTTTCAAGAGATGTTTGTACAAATAGCAACAGCTTTTAAAACATTCTTTTTTGGTACATAGTCCAACACACTACAATATTATAGCAATACATATCCAAGAATACTTGTTTTGGTTGACTAAAAAACTAAACAATAATTATTTATTTATTAAATAGAACTAAGATCTTTTTTCTAAGATGAACCGAAGTTTGATAATAATAATAAGATTGCATTTAATATTTAGATCCATCAATGTGCTTAAAAGAAAAAAATTAAGATTTTAAAGTGAAGTGTATTTTTCAATTTAATTAGAATATACAATAATGATTCAACATGATGTGCAACATGAAAATATTATTTGAAATAGATTTATTTGGTATTTTATACAAAATCTATTAGAACAAGAATTTTTTATGAATTTTTTAATTTAAAGTAAGACATACCATATCTTACAAGAGCTTGGTTGTTATTCATAAAATATTGTAACAAAGTCTTTAGGCTTTACTTTTATGTTGGACGTACAAAAATTTTAAATCATGTTTAATTTTTTGTATGAAATAGTCTGTTAAAAAATATTAATAAAAAATATAAAATCTATTTTTAATAAATTAGAGATACATGAGTTTTAAAATAACATACATGATTTAAGTAACATATGTATTTTTTTCTTTACTTATATTTTTAAAAATTATTGAGTAAGATATAATAAATTAAGAATTTTTGAGATTAAATTATTTTAGAAAAAATTACATGATTAATTAAATATTTTTTGAAAAATATAAAATTTCAAGAAATTTAATAATTTGATTTATGATTTTAGGAATAAATTTTTTCAAGTGTACAAAAAATTAAAAAAACCAAAGTCCTTTTAATTATTTATAAATGATTGTTTAAATTTTTATAAATTAATAAAAACTTCTTCTATCATTTAAAATTTTCTAAAATCTCCTATTTTTTATGGATATATATATTTATTATAGTAATTATTTATATAATTAGATAAAAGTAGGTAAAAGTAGATAAAAATAGATTAAATTCATTGTATCTTTAAGAAAAGCTTCATAGACACAATTTTGACTTTACATGTGTTTATAGTTGACTTTTAGGTTAAAAACTTGGTCATCAAATTAGCCACGAGTAGATATATTATGGAACAAACTAACTGTATAAAGCACATACAAAAAACTTGCCTTACAAGTTAAGATATGTGGCTTACAAAATCAATACATGTTGGAGGTCCTATAGAACGTCGCCATATAGCTCATAGGTGGATAATATATATAAACAAAAGAATGAAGCCTTTTTCACTCTTGTCAATTCCTTTCTTGCTCTAGTTTAGATTTAAGAGTCTTTAATTTTGTTGTCTTTTGGTAATAGCCATTCCAATTTTCTTTTAATATATATATATTTTTATTTTTATTTTGTCATACTTCTTTAAAAAAAGTCTTCTTTAGTTATTTGCTTTCATCAACTTCTTGTTCTTAACAAATTCAAAAGTATATACTTACAATATTAAGGCTTTGTCTTTTCTTGATAAAGAGTGGATTACTTTTTTTTTTAATAAGGCATAAGTGTAATACAAGTTATAGATTACCCTCATCTAAAATGATGTTATCTTTAGTATTTCCTTTTCAAGTCTTCATTTCTATTTGTTTTGAGCAATATTGAACATCTTTTCTTTTCTAAGTGTTATCATACCAAAGCTTCTTAAAATTAAGAGTGCAATGAAACAAATGCAAAAGCAATTGAGGGAGTTAATGGTTGCAATGCATCAACTCAATTTACCACGATAAAGAGCAACAAGAATAACAAGCAATAAAAATAAAGAGATGATTGGAGCTGCTTCAACATTTGTATTAAATCATATCCCTTCTTTTATGATAGAATGTCTTTTTTATGTTAGAGAACTAAGGATTTTCCTGCTTAAGAAGTTTGATGGCACAAGATCTAAGTTTTAATGATTTATCAATCAAGTACAACTTGTGATTAAACTTCAACTCCAAAGCTATCCAATTTCAAAATCGTAAGTTAAATTTATTGATATATTTATTTCAAGTTCAATATTATTATGGTTTTTATCTTTTTTTGAATGATTAGATCCAATATTCAATAATTTAGAAGCTTTTTGGCAAAGTTTTGATTCATATATAGAGAACATAATGTAATTTGTATTACAACAAAGAAGATTTATATTTTGGGACAAAGCAATCAATTAGTAATGTTATATGCTTCATAGTTTCAACAACTTATAACTGATACTAAGTCAGATGATGTTACATCTATTAGCCAATTTTTCTATGGATTACAATATGAAGTAAAACAATTGATGTTCAACTTACTTGATCTTCAAACATTAAATCAAATAATTAACTTTGCTAAAAATTATGATAATTAATTTTTTAAATTTTAATCTAAGAGTCATACAAATATACCTCAATTCTATTATAATTCAATGGCAATACCAACGTCTCTTCAACATATACATTTAGAAGTAGAAGATATATAAATTGATGCAGTACATTTTAAACCTCTTATTGAGTAAATAAAGACTTGTTGTCATCAAAAAAGATTATGCTTGTATTATGAAGAACCTAAGTATACTGCTCAACATTATCGAAAGAAGCAACACAACCACAAAATGAGTAATTAAGTTGTCAAAGAAGATAGTATGTCAAAAAATAAGTTTGTTTAGCTATAATAGGAACCATGCAGTTGAAACTTTATACAACACCCAACAGAAGTCCTATTCTTTCTTTAAAATCATTTTTTTATTTTATAATATATATTATTTTAAGATCTAAACATTACAAAGTCTTTTTTTGTTAGATTCAAGAGCCTCAATATGTTTCTTATATGAAGAATTTGCTAAAAGTTATAGCATATTTTTAATAAAGAAAACTAAATCTATTCATGTAAAAGTCATAGATGGTCGTCTATTATCTTTAGAAGATGTTACTCATGAAATCCTTCCTATAGAAATAACAACTAATGGTCATAGTAGCTTTGTAATATTTAATATGATTAGATCTCTTTTTAATTCAATCTTTTTAGGTTTATGATGGCTAAAAAAATATAATCTTGAAATAGATTGAATTTCTTGTAATCTTTATTTTTTTGAAAGTATAACTAAAAGTGTAGTTAATCAAATAGAAATTCATAAGTCTAGTACAAATATACATGTATTTATAGGTGCAAGAGTTTTCTTGCATGTTACAAAAAAAAGATTATCTTGTGTCATTTATGTCATACTTGTTTTGTAATGGTAAAAAGCTTCAAGTAGTATTCCAAGCCAATATCAAGATTTTTAAGTTATATTTGAGAAAAAAAATGTAGATATTCTTTCAAAACATTATTCTTATGATTTCTCAATTGACCTTCAAGAAGGAATTCAATCGTCATTTGGACCAATTTATATTTTATTACAAAATGAATTAGCTAAACTCAAAGAATATATTGAAGAAAATTTGGCCAAGAACTTTAAACACCTTTTTAAATTCCTAAGAAGAGCTCCAATTTTATTTGTAAAGAAAAATGATGGATCATTAATGATGTGTGTCAAATATTAAGGATTCAACAAAATCACCATAAAAAATAAGTACCTGCTACTTTTGATATGTGGACTTCTAAATTAATTAAATAAAGTTAAGATCTATATAAAAATAGATTTATAAAGATCATATAGTTTGGTATGTATCAAAGAAAGAGACAGATAGAAGATTTTATTTTAAATTAAGTATGGACATTTCGAATATAATGTCATGCCTTTTGAACTTACAAATGCACTAGCAACTTTCTAACATCTAATAAATGATGTCTTTCAAGAGTTTTTAGATGACTTTATTATCTATTACCTAGACAATATCTTAATCTATTCAACGTACATAGAAGAACATGAACTTCATGTTCATTGTGTATTACAAAAATTAAGAAATGTAGAATTCTATACCAAGATAGAAAAGTGTATATTTTATACTACTTAAGTCGACTTCTTAGGATACATCATTAAAAATGATGAACTTATGATAGATCCTAAGAAATTTTAAATTATTATAGATTGAAAGATTTCAAAAATCGTAAGAGATGTTCAATGCTTTTTGGAATTTTTTAACTACTATCAGATCTTCATCAAGGACTTCTCTCAAGTTACAATTCTACTTACACATTTGAAATATAAAGACAAACTTGAATAAAATCAAGAAGCAAAAGTATCATTTGAAGCTTTAAAGATAATGTTTACTTTTGTACCAATTTTGTATTGCATTGAATTTTTTAAATCATTCTTTATAGAAAAAAATACATTAGAATTTGCTTTGAGTGCCATATTGTCACATATAGGAATAGATGATAAACTTCATCTAGTAGCTTTTTATTTGAGAAATGTTTTAATATCTAAGATCAACTACAAGATTCACAATAAAGAACTTATTACAAATACAGATTTGTTTGAAGAATGGTGTTATTATTTAGAAGATGCTTCTAATCTAGTCGTTGTTTACACAAACCACAAGAATCTTGAATATTTCATATCAACATTTATTTGAATTGTTGCTAAGTCCGTTAAAGCATTTTTTTTATCAAGATTTGACTTCAAGTTCATTTATTGATTTATAAAACAACAAAATTTGTCAAATGCCCTTTCTAATTATTCTTATGTTATATATATATATATATATATATATATATATCTTATAAAGAATGATTTTCTTGGAACTAGAATATTTTCATCTTTGAGCAATAAAATCAATATTGATTTTTGATTCAACGTTTGTTAAACAAATTTAATCAAGTATGTCCTTTAATTCTCTTGTTTGTGATATTAAGAATCTCTTTTCTAAGTTTCATGATGCTTTCATGTT